CCTGGTTCTTGGGCTGTAAGTTTCCTTCGGATAAGGAACTTAGTTTTAGGGACTCTTTGAGTCGTACGTCTTCCTCTGACGTTAGCTACGGCAGCTCCGCTGCATGCAGAGTTTGTACGCCGACCGTGATGAGATTATCAATGTTGTAGCTCCCTTCCCGTCTCGCTAAATCTCGGACTGGGAAGAATTTAACGACGTTCTCGACGGCTACAAGAAGCGCAACAACCTGAAGTTTCGAGTTCGCAGTTCGCAAACAACGGTGCTATGCAACAGGTTCGCATTATTTTTTTATGCCGTCGCGATGTACATTAACGTCTTCTATTTTTTATTGCAGCACTCATGATGATCAACTACCATCGGAGTATCGATATGCCTACAAGATATTTCGCTGCACTCACGGCGTTTCTCAGAGCTCTCGCTCGAAAGGCTACAGAAATCGCAAGACGTGTTATTGCGGGTGCAGTGCCCGGTTTACTGCGGTTGTGAGTCCGGCTGGAGAAGATGATTTTATCATCAAAATTATCAACGAGGTACGTTAATGGTAAGGTTGATGTACGTTTGGCATTCAGTACTAATTTGCACTGTTACTAAGTTTAGAACTATATCCATTCCCACCCTACAACTGCGTTTCAAGCTTCTTCTTACTTGACAACTTGTTACCGCTGGACGAATAAGACCGTGAAGGTGTGAAGACGTTGGCAGATGCACGCGTTTCTTCCAAGCATATTGCAAACTTCATGAATGAGCGGATTGGTATGTAAAGCGAGTTGTTTTTTATTGGTTGGTGATATTTTAATTAACATGTTTCTTTACCTCACTTCGCTTGTTTTGTTTTGCCCTTTCCGCAACGATAGGAGGCAAGATTACTCCTCAACAGACTCCCAACCTGATTCCGCAACATCATGGGGAGAGATTCCGCTGAAGATCGCTTAAAGGACATGCTTCATGCACTTCGTCAACTGGATGAAAGCGATGTTCTTGTAATGCAAGATCAAATGGGCCTGACGACCGGGGTTGTGATGCAGTCAAAGTTGCAGAAGATGATGTTTGAGCGATGGGTCGAGACACTGGCGATGGACTTTACGCATGGCACTAACAATCTAGGCTATCACTTGGGTGCGTATCGAGAAAATTATAGCGACTTTATCTCACTGTACAGCAACTTTATAGTTAACTCGGTTTCATCTTGCTGTTTTTCGACACAGGGAGTTTGGTTGTCACTACTCCTACTGGCAGAGGGTTTTCCGGTCTTTGATTGCATTAGCCTGGACGAGCAGGCAGTGACAATTTCAAGCATTTTGCAGTACTTCAAGGAGAAGAACCCAGGTTGGAAGCAGATTTAGTCAGTGGTGATTGATAAGGATTTTGTCGAGTGGGTCATGCTGAAAGAGGTTTATCCAAGGACCAAAGTATTGTTGGGTCAGTTCCATGAGATCAGCTACTAGAAAAAAAGTGATGAAGCGCCCTGTATATCGCCTAAAGGTATCTCAATGCGAGGAATTGCTTCGACTGATGACAAGGATGCTTTACAGGTATGATATTTCATGTTAATGTCGTGTTTATCCTAAGCTCTAACGTTTGCTGCGTGGTTTGAACAGTACCTCTCGCCTCAGATACAATTTTTTGCTTCAAGGAGCTACGACAATACTGTAAGGACGAGAAACGTGAAAGCTTATTTGCATACTTCAAAAAAAAAATTGGATTCCTGTCGAGATATGTGGGCTAAATTCACCAAAAGGAAAGTTTTCACCGCTGGCAATACCACCACGAATAGAATCGAGTCCAACTGGAACCAAGTCAAGATGTTGCTGGGCCACAATACAAGAATTGACAAGACTATTGCAGGTCTGTTGCAGCATCAAATGACGATAACGCAGAAGATCATTTTTTCTATTAGACAATAGCACGCAACATCACGCGTGCCCAAGACTGTATCAAAGTTCTTAAGAGCCGTTGCATGTCGCTTGTCAGCGGATATTTTTGTGAAAGTAAAAAGGGAGTGGGGCGTTTCGTTAATTTCATGGTGGGTGCGTCATCCAAACGGGCCCCTGCGAGTGTGTCATGTTAGAAAGTCGTCTGTAATACCGAAACGGTCATGTGCGACGACATTGCCTGGACGTGCAACTGCCTGTTCTACAGAAGTCATCACCTACCCTGCCGCCACAT